AAAAAAAAAGAAAGAAAGAAAGCAGCAAGAATGAGGGGGAGGGGGGAAGAGGGATGGAAAGCAAGCGCCAGAGAGCGCACGAACGCAGAAGTGAACAAGGGCTCTTTGTGGCTGGGGATGATCTATTTTTTTAAATCATTTTCATTTTGACTTGTTACAGGGTACTTATTTTTTCAATATCTGTAAGAAATCTATATGGGCTTCCTGGAAAGGAGAGAGAGAGAGAGAGAGAGAGAGAGAGAGAGAGAGAGAGAGAGAGAGAGAGAGAGAGAACATGGCATGGAATCAGTGGAATCAGTTCACCTTAATCCCAGGTCCTCATCTGCCAGTCTTCCCCACCCACACATCCCCCCATTCCATGTGTGCCGGCTCCTCCCTCTCCCCAGGGGACTGTTACCCCCAGAACTCCCTACATGGCATTAAGGACACACACATGCACACACACTCTCTCACACACACAGAGGCACCTCTCCCCTCTACTCAGTATACACACAGATTTTACTGTGATGTCTGAAGCTGTATAGAATCTCCTGTGGATAAACTGGAATTTTTTTTTTTTAAGTTGCCTCTCTCTCTCTCTCTCTCTCTCTCTCTCTCTCTCTCTCTCTCTCTCTCTCTGCCAGTTTCAGTATTAATCATCTTCCAATGGAAAATCATTACCTTTGGAGTGCATTTGGGGCTCCCTGTGTTAGGGACTTAAGAACCCGCGGTGGGGACCCCAGGCGTAGGCGCAGGGCTCACAGGGAGCCAGTGCCCGTCCGAAAGGGCCGTGGCTCTCCGTTGGTGGCTGTCCCAGGATTGCACCAGCATGTTCACTAGAGAAGAGGTTTTTCTATATCTTCAAGCACTTATATCCTAGTCCGTGTTCAAAGTGTAAACTGTACAGTAATCAGCCTTGTGTATATGAAAAAATAATAAATACTATGCAAACCAATAGAAACACGTTAGCAGTATGTGCACAGCACGAACAGCTCAGCTCTGGGGCTTCTCCGGGCTGCGGGAGGAGCCACAGCCTGTCTCCGTGCCAGAGGGAGTAGGGCTAGGGAGTGGATCTGTGGGTTCTCAGAAGTCAGCCGCCCCCAGGGTCTCCCAGAGCGAACTCGGTGCTCTATGTCCAGGCAGCCGGCAGGATGGGGGGCCCAGGCTGACAGCCTCAGTGTCCCCACTCTGACCAAGCCCCTCTGCCCACCTTAGCAGAGAGGAGGGTGAGGGGCCCACTCCTGACCCCATGCCCAGGGGAGGGCCATCTGGAGGAGGAGGAGGAGGAGGAGAGAGCTGACCACCTGGAGGCCTGGGGCTAGGAAGGAGACTCCCCTAGGCCAGGCCTCCGGGCAGGGCAGGGCAGGGCAGGAAGGAAACAGGCGGCTGGCTGTTCCTTGCCTCGGTGCCACCAGGGAAGAGCCTTAACGTTCCACTAGAGCCTCCGGCAGAGGGAGGCCCGAATCAGCACAAACCGCCCGTCCTGCGTCCTGCGCGGCGGGCGCCCCCCAGGGCCAGAGGGAGAGGGGCCGGCTCTGCCGGCTGTCCCAGAGCCGCTGTGCGCGGGCGGCCGGTCACCGTCCTCCCTGCCGCTCTTCTGAGGTCCTCAGAACACGGTCACACTCTCCAAGTAGCACAGAAGCCCCTCGGTGTCAGAGCCCCCGCCGCCAGCCCGCCCCGGGCCCCGCAGGTCCTGGCGCGCAGGCAGGGCGGCTGGGCGGCCGGGCGGGGGAGGGAGCCCGGCTCCGCGGAGCCCCGCCAGCCCGGCCCAGGCGCTGCTGGTCCCGCGGTTTCGCTTTTTGCTTTCAGAGGGGCCAGCCCGGGAGGGAGGGGACGGTGGAGCTGGCGGCCTCAGGCCCCCCGGGCTGTGCCCCAGCCAGTGCATCGCCCGCCCTCCTTGCCCCCCTTGCGGGGCAGGAGCGCGGAGCTGCTAGGCGGCGGCAGCGGCGGGGCCCCGGGCCCCGGGGGCGGCCGCTTGGCCCGGGGAAGACAGGCACCCGCCGCTCAGCCCCGTCTGGTCCCCTCCTGCCCCGCCGCCGCCCAGCAGCCCCCGCAGAGCCTGCGGCCCGGCCTGGCCTTTGCTTTGGCACCTCCCGCTCTGTACGGCTTGGCTGCTCGGCCCGCGGCCCGCCCTGGCTGCCCGCTCTGGTTGCTAATAGATAGGAGCTGTTAGGGGAGGGGTCCGGGGTCTCCACACGATGCCTAGAGAATGCTGCAGTCTGCACATTATTAGACGCTTTTTAGAAGTTTTGGAATCACCTTGATTTTTCTAATTGTTATGAAAAATAAACCTTTTTTTCTCGACTCTCTCCCACATGCTCTGTAATCGGGAAGAGAATTCCCCTTCCTTGCCTACGATGATGTATAGACCATTCTCCCTACACCAGCTGAACAAATGTCAAAATTAATAAAGAAACTGACTCCATGGCACACGGCTCCATCTGTCCTTCTCGGTTCATCCTTTGGGGGGTGGGAGGGGGAGGGGTTTGAGGGCCTGAGGCCGGAGTGAAGCCTGAGGGTGGACCGGTCAGCAGGGTGGCCTGCACCCCAAGGAGGTGCCCAGCTTCCAGAAACCTGGACGGTCCCCCTTAATCATGGCCACCCACTCTGGGAGCAGCTCTCCAACCCCTGAGATGGTGGAACAGATTTCCGACCCACCTAAGGGTACAAGATGGGGGCTAGTCCAAGGTGGAGGGGGGCATCCCAAACCACCAGGGTACATGGCTGAGCCCAGGGGTTGGCATACACTCGGGGAGCCCCTGGTACCTCCTGTGAAGGCGTCTGGCCCCTGCACTCAATGCTACTCCAAGTTGAAGAACTTTTGGGAAAAGCACCCTATTCTTAACAATTAGTTCTTAACATTGCATGCAGCCCTGGCAGGTTTGGCTCAGTGGACAGAGCCTTGGCCTGTGGACTGAAGGGTCCCAGGTTCGATTCCAGTCAGGGGCACATGTCCTGGTTGTGGGCTCAATCCCCAGGAGGAGGCATTTGATCAATGATTCTCTCTCATTTGATGTTTGGAGGCATTTGATCAATGATTCTCCTTCATTGATGTTTCTAGCTCTCTCTCCCTTCCCTTCCTCTCTGAAATCAATAGAAATATATTTTTAAAAAACCAAAACACAAACACTGCATGCAAAGCCGGCCATCAATCGGGCCTCAGTTTCCTCTTCTGTCAAATGGGAGAATGGATGAAGGGCTTGTGTGTCCTCCTGGGATCCCGGAACACGAATGCCTTTGTCCAGTTGACGTTAAATAAGAACCAAATCACTCACGGCAGCTTTTCTTTCTCAGAAGTTCCCATCGCTGCCGGTGACGAAGTCACAGTGGTGGAAACACTCCCAGCCCTCACTCTGAAGCTGCTCTCTCAGCATCAGAAAAGCCGCCCGACCCCGGGGCCAGCCAGGGCTGCGCCACCGCACGCACGGCCCAGAGGTTTTCAAAAGCTCAGGTTCCGTTGCCCGGGTGGGGCCCGGGGGCAACCCTGGGATTTGGAACTAAGTTTCCTAAAATAGCAGCTTGCTAGCACAGCCCACTCCGCTGGATTAGAACCTTCCCCGCCCCCCCCCCCCTGTTTTTAAACCAAACTTCTAGAAAAACAATCTCCACGCACAGCCTATCGGAGGCCTTCCTTGCACTGAGCTATGGGAGAGAGAGCGTGGCCCCGAGACCGGCTCTGCCATGAGCAGCGGACGAGTCAGGGCTCTGAGCAAGAGGGAGCCACTGACTCCCAGGCCCTCGGCCTCCCGCTGGGAACCAGTTCTGGCTAAAGGGCACTTCCGGCCTCCGGCCAAAGCACGCCTGTAGGAGTGAGATCGAGGCGCCCACAGCCGGTCAGGAAAGGCCGTGGGGGGCCAGGCAGAGGAGCGAGAGAAGCCCACCTGTCCAGGAGTCACCCTTTTTCCTGTCATTGGGTCTGTTCAGACTGGTAGCATGCTGGTTTCCATGAACAAAAGCAAGCACTTCAAGAAAGGATGCTCATTAAAAAATAATAATAATAAATAAACACTGAAAAAAAAAAAAAAAAAAGAAAGAAAGGATGCTGCCCCCTACAGAAACAACCCAAGTTACTCACTGCTATTTCCCTGTTTGTGAGAGGAGAGCCCGGAAAAGCCTGGTCGGTTGTAAGAATGTATTGGGGGGTGGAGGAGAGGCGTAGGTGCTGTGTGATCCAATCTAGTTTTATCCATCAAAAATACACCGAGCGCCAACCAAATGCCCGGCACAGGGGCGCACGGCTTAATCCACAGCTTCTCGGCCAACAAGATCCCAAACCCAGGGCCACGCCAGGCAGGATCCGGCAGGTGCCCCAGCAGAGGCACGCTTGAGTCCTCGAGGGGGGAGGAAGGCACGGCAGAGGTGATCAGGGGAGGCTGCCCAGAGGCAGGGGCGGGAAGAACACACACCCAGCCTGCCCAGAGCTGTCCCTCTGCCCGGCAGACTCCCACCCCCGGCTCTCAGGCCGGCCACAGGGACCCTCACCCCTCCCGAAAGCCCACCTCCCCACTTACCCATCCCAGCACGGAGGAGGGAAACGGGCAGCATCCGCGCTCAGACGGCACACTCCCCCGGAGGCTCAGGCATCGGCTCTGGGGGCCTGGCCGAGCCCCTCAGGACGGAGACCCCCGACACGGGGCCTCCGGGCCTTTAGGAGAGCAGCTGCGAGACCCGAGACTGACAGCCAGCAGCTGCCTCCGGAGCCTCGGGCCCCCGCCCGCCCACCTTTTCCTAGATGCTGGACTCGGGGACCAGGAGCAGGTGGACCCTCTGAGCATGAACAGAGCTTTCAGACTCTCTCTCTCTCTCTCTCTCTCTGACACACACACACACACACACACACACACACACACGCACACACACACTCACTGGCTGATTTTACAGTCAATCTTTCAAAGTGCAATTTGTCTAGGAAAAGCCAATGTGAGGCCCATGTGGATTTCAACCAATGGCGACGCGGCTGGCGCGGCTCAGCCAGTCTCCGGTCTGTATTCTAATGGGCCCGATCTTTATCAGGGAAATGTGGCTTCTCTGAACTTCAAACTTCTCAGGAAGGGTCCCCAGACTCGGAGGCAGAGGAGGGGTCTGAGCGGAGGCGTGGGGCACCGCCTTTCCCCAGGCCTGGCAGGGAGAGAGGGAAGGGGTGCGGGCCGGGCTCTCGCCGGGCCCGGAGCACCTGACTTCCGAGCAGGGGACGCGGGTGACAGTCCCCGTGCAGTGGCTGGGCCGATGCTTTAGACCGGAAGGCAGTTGGGATCCGGGGGCCGCTTTCGACCCTCCATGCCTGCCATGGGGTTCTGGGCCCGATCTCGGGGTCTCAGGGTTTAAGGAGCCTGGATCTGGGCTTCCTGCCTCCCCCTCGCCCTGAGCCAGGGAACATGGAGTCCAACCTGCAAGGGACGTTCCTGCTGAACAACACACCGCTGGCCCAGTTCCCGGAGATGAAGGCCCCCGTGTGCCAGTACTCGGTGCAGAACTCCTTCTACAAGCTCAGCCCCCCAGGGCTGGGCCCGCAGCTGGCCGCCGGCACCCCCCACGGCATCACGGACATCCTGAGCAGGCCCGTGGCCACGCCGAACAGCGGCCTGCTCTCCGGCTACCCCCACGTGGCCGGCTTTGGGGGACTGGGCTCCCAGGGCGTCTACTACGGCCCCCAGGTGGGGAATTTCTCCAAGGCCGGGAACGAGTACCCCACCCGGACCCGGAACTGCTGGGCGGACACGGGCCAGGACTGGAGAGGCGGGCGGCAGTGCAGCAGCAGTGAGTACGATGGGGGGTGGGGGGGGAAGGGGGGGAAGGGATCATAAGGAGACACTCACGGTGGGCTCACCCCCACCACCCACCTCTCCTCCGTGGCCATCAGACAGCCCAACGCAGAGGCCCAGGCACCTGGCCCCACCTCTCAGCTGGGTGTAGGGTGCGGTTCTCCCCCCCATGTCCCACGGTTCTCCCCTCCATCTTGCTTGGACAGGGCATCTTCCTCCCACTCCCCACCCTTCCCAGCCTTCACCTCGGCTGCCCTCCCAGGGCACTGGGGTCTCTGGGTCTGGGGAAGACCACGTGGCCCACCCCCACCGGGCGCAGGGTCCAGCTGGCAGCTCACCTTCCTTCTCCCGCCCAGACACCGTGTCCCCACTTCCTCATCCACAGCAGACGATGCTGTCCCCTGCGAGGAGCGGCTGCCTCAGCATCGTCCTCCCAGGCAGCCCCCTCGTGCCCAGCTCCGTCCAGGGACACAGGGTGCAGTGACCTCGTTGCAGTCCCACCTGCAGGGGCTGTTTCCTACCGGCCTCCTCAAGGTTTAGGTCCATACACAGCGACCCCTGCCCAGCCCCCAGGGGCAGCCGCTGAGCCGGACTCCGTGTAGCTGGGGTGGGGCTCTCCTCCCCCTTAGCCATCCCCAAACCTACTTTCAAAGAGCCGACTGGAGGAGGGGGCAGGGTGTGCACAGACAGGCGAGGCTCACCTGGGAGGCAGGGAGGTGACAGCGGCCGCCAGGGCCACCCCATGCCACAAGGCCCTGCCTCCACTCCTGGCCGCCCACTGCAATGGGTCCCAGCCCCAGCATAGGAAACTGGAAACCAGCTCCTTCCTTCTGCTGCACTGCTCCCCGCGGCCACTGCCTGGCAGACCGCCCCCCACTCAACCTGGAACAGCCAGTTCCTGGGGGTGAAGACCCCGTCTCTTGAAACATATTTTATAACCCAGTTTGGGGGGCAGTCTTCCCTCTCACCTCCACCTTCCTCCCCACGCCGAACACACACCTCCCCTACCCTCCTGTTCTTCACTCCTGCTGCACACCCACACACGGGAAACCTCTAAGAAAGTCAGTGGTTGGATGAACAAAGGGAGAGAGGTCTCTCCACCTTTCCGTGCCTCAGTTTCCCCACCGGTAGCATGAGGAGGCAGGGCATGGGCCATCAGGCTGCACTGAACAAGGCCCGGCAGGTGGGCTCTCTGCTTATCCTGGGGCCTGCAGCCCTCCGGCCCCCTCCTACCTGGCAGGCTGCCGTGGCGGGGCGGAGGGTCAGGCACTGAGCCTCTGTGTCCACACTCTCCGGGGTGGATGACTGACCCCCAGGCCCGGGGGCAGGGGAGAGCAGTAACTTGGGGCTTAAGGCTCTGGTCTCTGGAGACCTGCCTGGGAACTAAGATCCCAAGAACAAGGAAGCCAGGAAGAGAGGAATTCTCAGGCCCCTCAGCCCTGATTGTGGGTGGAAGGTGCCTGATCCCTTCCTCAGTGTCCCTGAGATGGAGGGGAAACTCCTCTGGCCCCAGGGGGGAAGGTCAGCATCGCTGAGTAAGAACGTTAAACACAGGGGTGGTCCACGGCGGGCCCTCAGCCCCCTCTGTCTCTAAGTAGCTGTAACCGGGGGCAGGTGCCTCTCTAACAGGTGTCTGCCCGACTGGATATGGCAGAGGTCACAGTCACTAGCATCAGGATGTCAGGAATGCTGCTCATGTGAGAGGTGTCATCATCCACCCCCCACCCACCCACCCCCAACATCAGCGGCTTCTCCGTAGGTGGGGGAGACACAGGGCGGGCACCCCACTCACCCCGCTCACCACACTTGTCCTTCCTCCTGCCAGCCCCGGACCCCCTGAGTGACAGCATCCACAAGAAAAAGCACACGCGCCCCACCTTCACGGGGCACCAGATATTTGCCCTGGAGAAGACCTTTGAGCAGACCAAGTACTTGGCTGGCCCTGAGAGGGCCCGGCTGGCATACTCCCTGGGGATGACCGAGTCGCAGGTCAAGGTGAGTGTGTGTGTGTGGGGGGGAGGGAATGGGAGGGGGAGAAGGTGGCTGCTGGCAGAGAGGAGCGCGAAGGTCAGGATGCGTCCTTGCCCTCCCGGCAACCCCCAGCTCTCAGCGAGGGACCTCCTGTCTGGGCACTGCCTGCCCACCCAGCCCCAGAGATGGAGATGATGACCCTTAACCACACAGTGGCTGTCAAGACTGAGCCCAGATTTGAAAGCTTTGTTTGTAGCAGCTCATTTGACCTTTACAGCCACCTTGGTATGGGTATGAGGACTCATTTTACAGATTTAAAAAAAAAAAAAAAAAGTCTGAGCTGAGCCTCACTCAAGGTCACCTGGGGGGTAAGTGCAGACATGGGCGTCAACCCCAGATCTGGGGGAGTCCAGCCTCAGGCTTTCTCTCTTCTGCACCATCGGGCCGGAAACTTTGAGAGCTGATGGCAGCCTCTGCCCCGATCAGGAGTGAGCCTCCGGGCCCTGTTGGGGCTGGATTCAGGCTTGTTCTATCAGCCGGCAGAGAAAGCAACAGTTGGTGACGTTCGGATGGGATGCCAGGTGTAGGGCGCCTGGAAGACCCAGGCAAGGGTCATGCTCATGCCCACAGACACCAGGGAGCCTGAACTCTGTAAGGGCTTTTGCCTCCTGAGGCTGCTGGGGTAACTTCCATGCTAGATCGGGGCACCAAAGAACGCTTTGAGCGGTGCTGGGGCTGAGGGCTCTGTGCCCGGTGACAGGCTTAAGGGTAAAGGAAGTGCCTGGGAAGGTGGGGCCTCAGGACAGGCTCAGAGCTCTGGATCTGCAGCACCACCCTCGGCAGCCTCCTGCCGGCCCAGCAGAAATCTGCTGGAGAGCAAGCTGCGCATCTGAGAGGAACGAAACCCTGTGGCTCTCTTACACATTTTTCTGCTTTAGGTGCTTGACTCTTCAGCTGCCTCAGGCACGGAGACTAGATGATTTTTATAACTAAGCCGGGAACCTGTGAATGAAGTTCAGAGAGGGACGGTGGAGCTAAAAGAAGGGGTGACTCTGAGCACCCACTGACCTGCCCTCACTGGCTACACCCTCCCCATCCCCTGTCCCAGCATCTTCCTCCGGAGCGCCCAGACGGCAAACCCCAGGGAGGGTGACAGCTCAGCCTAGAGGGCTGCTGCTTATTTTGTTATTGCCCCCTAAGATGCTTATTTTTTTTATTGCCCCCTGAAAATACTCGCGTGAACATTACAAGCTACTCCAGTGTCTTCCAAAGTGTGGTACGGGTACCCCCAGGAGTATGGGAAGAGTTTGGTGGGGGTACGCGTTGCATCGGAGTTTGGTGGCGATATGCACTGCACCGTGCTTAGCTGCGCCTAATTCTACGTTCTCATGAGTACGAGGGGTACTCAGCGTTACCAAGATTATAGAAGGGGTACACATGTGTCAAAAGTTTGGGAAACACTGGACTCCGTGAGTTAGCCATGTATTTATTTACTGTAACAGTAAGGACTGCGTGCACCTGCCGCCGGGGCGGTGCGTGCTGGGGTGACCCGGTCCCTCTGCCCCAGGTGTGGTTCCAGAACCGCAGGACCAAGTGGCGGAAGAAGAGCGCCCTGGAGCCCTCGTCCTCGACGCCCCGGGCCCCGGGAGGCGGGGCGGGCGCGGGCGGGGACCGCGCGGCTTCGGAGACGGAGGACGATGAGTACAACAAGCCGCTGGACCCGGACTCGGACGACGAGAAGATCCGGCTGCTGCTTCGCAAGCACCGCGCCGCCTTCTCGGTGCTGAGCCTGGGCGCGCACAGCGTCTGACCCGCCCCCCAACCCCCAACCGCCCCCCTCTAGCATCGCGGGGGCCGCCTGCACCCCTGCCCCTCCCCGCTGCAGGGGACTGGGCGCCTGCTAACCTGGGGGCTGCAGAGGAAGAGGGAGGGGAGGAGGAGGGGAAGGAGGAGGAGGAGGAGGGGTCAGAATGGAGTGGGGAAGACCAGCCTGGCTGAGAGAGAAGGGAGCTAAGAGGCAGCCACACACTGGGCCTGGGGCCTGCACCCTCTCTGCCTGTTGGCCCTCTGGGGGGCCCAGGCCTTTCCTTGCCAGCTCTGCGGGTTCCTAAGTGCACAGGGGGATGAAAATGACCAGGCTCTGCACCCGCGAAACTGGCTGTGGGACCCCAGACTTATCACCCTGATCCAGCTGTGGGCCTCCCCGCAGGAAGGCGGCTGGCCCCGCGTGCAAGCGGCTCCCTTCCGCTCCCAGAGTTGAGAAACCAAGGTCTGGGCCCAGGGCAGCTGCTGGCTGACGGGGAAGAAACGATGGCACGTCCAGGATGGTACCCTCCTCAGACTGGAGGGGCCAGAGGCAAATACATAACCCAGGCTGGAGGAAAGCCACCTCAGGGAGGGGAGGTGGCTCCCAGGGAAGAAGAAGAAACACCATGAACCCCAAATCAAGGATCACTCCCCTGGAGGGATCAGGCCTGGCCTCCTCTCTCCTCTTTGCCCTTGATGGCGATCCCCCCAGACTGGAAGAGACAGGAAGGCCCACAGCTGGCAAGGACGGAGGTGGTAGGCAGGGGCAGAGGAAAGACTAAAGAGCCCCAGTAGCTGATGCCACACCCCAGAACCAGCCACCTGGCTTTCCTGGGTGCTGATGCAAGAACCACCCAGAAGGAGGGGAGGGAAGGTAGGGCTGGCAGGAACCTCAGCATTGGGTGCCCACACAGGAAGGGAGAGGCCGAGGCCGCAGAGAAGGTGCATCAGGGTTTACAGGGACCCACAACCTGTCCTTACCTTGGACCCCCTGAGCCTGGCACTGGAGCTGATGCTGAGGCACTGGGGGAGGACACTGGCCAGCAGGGTGGTGTTTTTCATCCCAGGGTGGAAGTGGGAGGGAAGTAAAGTAGGGCTGACCAAATGAATGCAGCCCAATAGGAACCAAGCATGTGCCCAACTTCATTGGCTTTTTAAAAAGGAAGAGTAAAGCTGCGGCCGGTGTGGCTCAGTGAGTTGGAGCATCGTGCTGTACATTAAGAGGTGGCAGGTTCAATTCCTGATCAGGGTACATACCCAGTGTGCAATCCCCGGTGGGGGCAACTGATGAATTGATGTTTCACATCGATGTTTCTTTCCTTCTCTCTCTCTCTCTCCCCCCCTTCCTCTCTCTCTAAAATAAATAAATAAATAAATATATATATAAGTAAAAAGTAAAAATAAAAGTCCCAGAAACCTCCCCGTGGCTCCTACTCTTCTGTGGAACCGGCTGTGGGGTCCCAGGCATGCCAGCCCCGAGGGGCCCTCCCAGAGGACAGGCCTCCCTCCCAGGGGGAATATCAATGTTCTGGGAGTCCCAGAGCTTTGCATGATATTGGTCAACTTGAAATCTCATTGGTATATGCCAGGTACTGTCCTAGGTGCTGAGAAACCAGAGTTTATTGGGGTCCCTAACCTCCAGGAATTCATAGCCTAGTGGGGGAAATTATCTGTTTGGGGAACAAGGTGCCCCATAGGAAAGAGAATAGGGAAGAAAATAAAAGAACTGACACCTGCTAATTTCTCCCAGGATGAAGGCCTAGATTACTCCACTTCCAAGAAACCTAGGAAGTTTCCTCGTTGCACAGGTGAGAAAACTGAGGCTCAGAAAGAGCCTGACCCAACTCACAGAAATGGGACAAGTTGACTTCAAGGCCCTCACACTTGTTTTCCCCACAGCAAGGGACAGTCTTTTCTGCAACAGGAAAGGCTGAAATGAGAGGTGCTTTCAGGGCCCTTCCACCTTTATGATCTCTGCAAACACCCAGGCCCAAGTAGCAGCGCGCAGCCTGCCCTCTCAGCTGTCCCATCTGGTCCTTCAGCCTGTGCCTTGGGCCCGCAGGCAGGTGAGTCTGGTCGGTGGAGTCAGCTCAGCTGGAAGGTGAGAGGAAGACCCAGCCAGGAAACTGAGGCACCAGCCTGATGAACCCAGAGGACAGGGTAGGGTGACAAAAAAAACAGATTGCTTTTAAGCTCTAACCCTCAATATGCAATGAAGGCCCCATGTGGAGTCTCGCCCCATGAAGGGGGAAGGTTATAAGAATTGAGCACCACCTGTGCTCCTGGTCACACGGTGCATTGAGGAGCCCTCCGCCCACAGGGGTGTCCTGATAGTGGGGCCCTGTGGCCACACCCAGCAGAAGGGGCAGCAGCCTGGGGGGACCTAAGGACTCACAAAAAAACCAAATGCTTCTGAAATCTCGGGGAGCCAGGCATGCAAAGTCATCAAGCAAGTATGGAGAGAAAGCCAGTGACCAAAAACCTGTGTGTGTTCGCCTTTGTTGTAAGTATATTGTCATCCTAACTGCTCTGTCATCACTATAATTCTTGCATCTCTGATTCAAGTCCTTTGGAGTCAGTATTAAGTCCAGCCTGGGGGGGAAGTTGTTTTATTTTTCCTGGGAGACGTTTGCTGAGCTAAACAAGACCTCCTCCAATCAAGGCTCTGGGACAGCTGCCACGGCCCCGTGGCTCCAGGATGCCAGCCTTCCGGGCGTTGCCCCGCCCTCACTGCTGTCCTGAGCACCGGGACCACTGCGCGCATATCTTCCTCAGGCCTCATCAGGAGACTAGATGCAGAGTTTGGAGGCAGAGAAGAGCCCAAGGGGAATGGCTCAGACTCCTGCGGGGAATTTGGAATGTCTTGCTTTCTGCAGATGTCCACATTCGTGTGTGTGCGTGCATGTGCATGTGTATATGTATGTGTGAATATGTGTGTGTATGTTGCTAAAGAACAGAGGCTCTGGTTGGTGTGGCTCAGTGATTCAAGTGTTGGCTCTCACACTGAAGGATCTCAGGTTTGATTCCCTGTAAGGGCACATACCTGGGTTGCAGGTTTAGTCTTCATCCCCGTCATGCAGGAAGCAACCAATTGATGTGTCTCTCACATCAAAGTCTCTCTCTCTCTCTCTCTCTCTCTCTCTCTCTCTCTCTCTCTCTCTCTCTCTCTATCTCTATCTCTATCTCTATCTCTCCCCCTTCGATTCTCTCTCTTAAAAAAATAAAATAAAATCAATGGAAGAATAAAGACTATCTCACTTCTTCCATCACAGAGAAATCATAAGCCATAAACCCACACCCATAAACCATTGTTTATGTCTAGTCATGAAAGAGACTCCTTACACATGATGAGTTAAAAAAATAAACTTTTAAGATATTCATGCTTCTTGCAACTTCTCTGCCACCACATCACAAACTTTTCAGGGCTGAGAGAAGGGGAAGGAATTAAGTCCTGCGCTCCCACAGCCATGGAATCCTGCTCTGACAGGCAGCCAGGAGGCTCCGACAGACAGGCCCAGATCCTGCCACATCCCACAGCCCGCACACTTGTGGTTCCCAGTGTTAGAAGGACACGGGACATGTCCCCAGCAGGTCGGGGGTGAAGGCAGAAAATGACAGTGGGTCAGAATGGCGATATCCTTCCTGGTCCAGTGAGCGGTCCCCACCATTTCTCTGGCCATTCCACATACTTGGGCTTCGACATTAAGTCATCTTCCTGGCCCCTAAGGACATCGGGGTGCGTGCGTCCTGCTAACACCGCGGTACTCAAACACATGGACCAGCAGCACCAGCAGCGATGGCCTCACCTGGGAACTTGTTAGAAATGCAGACACTCAGGCTCCGTCTGAGACCCTCGGGATCAGAAGCTGCATTTTAGCAAGATGCCCGGCAGTCTATATGCACACAGCATATAGTGTGAGAAGTTTGAAAGTGTGTGACTGGGTGAATGTGTCCAGCTAACACTCCTCTTCTCAAAGCACAGAGCCTGGCCCAAATCAGGGCTCAGTAAAATATTCCTGGACAGCTGTAGATGGGTGTAAGTAGATGCCTAGCATTTGTGACCTTTGGAACCAGATGGTGAAGGGGGAAAGTCTCAGAGGACAAGAAAGTAGCAGCTACAGGGCGTGCACACACTGCTTTCCCAGGCAAGGCAAGGCTGCCTCAGGTAGAAGACTAGATTCAGAGAGGTCCAGAGCCAAGACACAAGAGTCCCAATGGACTCCTAGCAGCAGGCAACAAGCGGCAAGAGGAACTGCAGAAGCTCAGCCATCTGTGGGCATTGGTAATAGGACCGAAAACCCAGCTTAGGTCAGAGGCCTTTGAGGACATCATTGTGGTTCATGTTCATAACGATGGCCCAGAGCCTTCAGAAATAGGAAGCTGTGTCCTTTGCCTTCTGCATAAGATGGCCAGAAGAGCATACCTTTTTTTTTTTAATATATTTTATTGATTTTGTACGGAGAGGAAGGGAGAGAGATAGAGAGTTAGAAACATCGATGAGAGTCATCGATCAGCTGCCTCTTGCACGCCCCCCACAGGGGGTACGCCCGCAACCAAGGCACACGCCCTTGACTGGCATCGAACCCGGGACCTTTCAGTCCCCAAGCCTATGCTCTATCCATTGAGCCAAACCAGTTTCTGCCAGAAGAGCATATCTTATAGGGGTGTCGAACTCAATCAGAGAAGGGGCCAAAATCTAAAATCCAGCCTAAATCGCGGGCCGAATAGTTTACTGAACAGTCATAAACTGTCATTGTGATGGAAACGCAGCGGAGTGCAGTGATGACAGCGCGGTGCGAGCCACATTGCAAGGCCTGGCGGGACGGATTTGGCCCGCGGGCCTTGTGTTTGACACATGTGTGAAGGATTTTCACTGGGAAATTATTTTGCTTAGAAGAACTCACCATCTGATGATGCTCAGATAAACCGAATATACCAGATCAAAATCTACAGTTGGATCATGTCATTTCAACTTGGTCAGAGGTTGGGTTGAGAATTTATGGAGGAATCCTGTATAATAAAGAGGTAATATGCAAGTTGACTGTCATGCCCTCGCACAAAATGACCGCCCCCATGTGGTCACAAGATGG